AGCCACTTCCAGGTGGAAGTCCCTACTCAAACGATCCGACCGTGCGTTCCAGGCGTCCAGTGGATGGAAAGCTTTTAGGCAGATGTCATGGGCTAAACAGAAATCTCACAGTCTGAGGGCTTCACAGCAGAGGGCAGAGGATCGGGCCCCACCTTGCCTGTTGATATAGAACATCAAGGCCGTGTTGTTCGTGAGGACCCTGACCACCCTGCCCTCCAGGTGCAAGCGGAAGGCCACGCATGCCAGCCATACCGCCCTGAGTTCCTTGATGTTTATGTGTAGGATCAGCTTCTGAGCCGACCACAGACCTTGTGTCTGAACGTTCCCCACATGGGCCCCCCAACCCAGGTCCGACGCATCAGAAACCAGTTCCAGAGACGGGGACCTGTCCCTGAACGGGACCCCTTGAACCATGTTGCTTGGGGCGGACCACCACCGTAAGGAGGCGATCACTGAGTCGGGTATGGTGAGGACCTTATCCATCCTGTCCCTGGCCTGGGAGAACTCCGAGGCCAACCAGAGCTGGAGGGGCCTCATCCTGAGTCTGGCATGACAGGCCATATATGTGCACGCCAACATGTGACCCAAGAGCTGGAGACACACTCTGGCTGTTGTCACTGGGAACCTTGTGACCGTGTCGATGAGCCCCTTCGGGGTCTTGAACCTGTCCAGTGGGAGGGAGGCTCTGGCCAATGAGGCATCCAGGAGCGCCCTGATAAACTCTATGCATTGAACCAGGATTAACGTGGACTTGGTATTGTTTACCAACAGGCCCAAAGCGGTGCACGTGGACAGGAGGAGCATCATGTGATCCCACACCTGCGACCGGGAGCTGCCCTGGACCAGCCAATCATTCAGATAGGAAAAGATCTGGACCCCCCAGCACCTGAGGTAGGCCACTACCACCGACATACATTTTGTAAATATATGGGGGTTGTGGACAGGCCAAACCGGAGGACTGTAAATTGGTCGTGATTCTGCCCCACCACAAAACGGAGGAAGCGTCTGTGCCCCTCAAATATATGAATATAGAAGTACGGGTCCTGCAGATTGAGGGCAGCATACCAGTCCCAGGGATCAAGGGAGGGGATGTTGGAGGCTAGGGAGACCATGCGGAACTTCAGCTTCACCATGTACTGTTTCAGACCTCGCAGGTCCAAGATGGGCCTGAGTCCTCCTTTGGCCTTCAGGATAAGGAAATAGTGGGAGTAGTACCCCTTGCCTTTGAACTCCCTGGGCACCAGTTCCACTGTTTCTAGGCCCAGAAGCCACCCCACCTCCTGCTCGAGCAAAGCTTTGAGTGAGGGGTCCTCAAAGAGGGACAGGGGCAGGGGATGGTTGGGCGGAGAGGAAGTAAACTGTAGGGTGTAGCCCTGGGAGATGGTGTTAAGGACCCATTGGTCCGAGGTCAGCCACAACCACTCCAGGAGGAAAGCACACAACCGATTGGAGAAGGGAAGCTTTATTGAGGGTGGATCCCTGATGAGAACTGGCAGGGCACCCCCGAGCATCCCGTCAAAAATGCCTGCTTGCCCTTGGAGGACCCAGGTTGGAGGGCAGGCTGAGACTGCCTCTGAGGGCGCCTCTTATAGTCCTGTGACTTCTTATAGGCGGCCTCGTATTTCGGGTGGGTGGCCTGAGCAGGAGTCTGCTGCAGCTTGAACTTTGATTTAGTCGGAGCCGGAACATAGAGACCCAGAGTCTGGAGGGTTGTGCGGGAGTCCTGCATGCCATGCAGCTTTGTATCTGTTCGTTCTGCAAACAGAGATTTGCCGCCAAATGGGAGATCCTGCATGGAGGCCTGTGCCTCGCTAGACAGCCCAGAGAGCAGGAGCCATGATGCTCTTCTCATGGACACTGCCGAGGCCACAGACCGTACGGCCATATCCGCCGCATCCGAAGCTGCCTACAGGGTTGCCCTGGCAGCTGCTGTACACTCCTCCACCAGCGCTTTGAACTCCTTCCTATCGCACTACTGGAGGGAGTCCTCTAACTTGAGCAGCGAGCCCCACAGATTGAACTCATACCAGCCCAGGACAGCCTGGTGGTTTTCCACTCATAACTGAAAGCTCGAGGACAAATAAGTTTTTCTTCCATAAGAGTCCATCCTCCGTGAGTCTTTATTTTTTGGGGTAGGGGCTGGCTGACCCTGCCGTTCCCTGTGGTTGACCAACTCAACCACAAGGGAGTTGGGCACTGGGTGGGTGTATAAGTACTTGTGTCCCTTGGTGGGTACAAAGTATTTGCATTCCACCCTCTTAGAGATGGGGGCCAACGAGGCTGGTGTTTGCCACAGGGCATTTGAAATTTTTGCCACCCCTTCATGGAGAGGCAAGGCTACCCTGCCCGGTGCTGAAGAGGACAGCACATTAAACAGGGAGGGTGAGGGCTCCTCCATCTCCCCTGCCTGGAGGTGGAGGCTTGATGCCACCCTCTTTAAGAGTTCTTGGTAGGCCCTAAAGACCTCCTGCAGGATGGAGGGGGTGGGGCCATAATTGCCTCATCCGGGAAGGACGAGGAGGCCAGTGTGGTACTCTGGGTGTCCGCCGGCACTGGAGGGTCCACCACCTGGTCGGTCTCTGGGCACAGTGCCGAGAATGTACGTCACACCGATTCCTTCCTTGGCAGTCTGGAAATGGAGGCTGATGGTCCTTCTACGGCTCCGGCCACTGAGTAAGCCCCCACCAGGGGCTGCGTCAGGGGCCACGGTGCCCACTGGTACCACTCTGCCAGCCACTGGGCCCGGTGCCACTGCACCTGCTGCAGCACTGGCGGAGCCGGTTGTTCAGCCTGGCTGGCCTGGCCCATCAATGGATGACTACAAACAGAGGCCGGGCTGACGTATGACCTGCCACTGTCCCTGGACCGGGAGGAGCAGCGGTGCCGGGAGCAACGCCGACCACAGGACTGTGAACCCGACGTGGAGGACTGGTACCATCGGTAGCAGCTGCTCTGCGATCAGCTCCAACGGGCGGACCCGCAACAGCGAGATGCTGGTGATTGGCACTCAGGGCTGCGGAGGCGACGCCTTGGCAGGGTCTTGGAGTGGGATTCTGAGCGGGAACGGCGTCGACGTCTGTGCCGTGACTGTCTGCGATAACCCCTCCGAGACGAAGGACCTTTGGCGATGTCTGCCTCGGTCCTGTCGGTATTCGCTCCTCAAGGTGGAGCAGTGCCGAGAGTCTCAGTCGGATGGAACCCAACCAGACAGTCTGGTGGGAGTCGAGGGTGATCCACGTGGACTTGTCCCTGAATGGTCACTGGGCAGCGAACGCCGTTGGGAACGTTCCCTCGACTGAGACCGGTACTGAGCCGGGGGTGACTGCAGAGATCCCAGCGGCGGCTTGCCTCTGGAGCATGGAGCCGATATTGCCAGTGTTCCTGGTACCAGCATACATATAACATCCCAGGCCACCTGCAGGGCCTCCATCGTGGAGGGCATCCGGACATCCGGGGAGGCCTGCTCCAAATGGGCCAGACTACTCCACTTGACTTGAGTCAGAGGCCTAGAGACCAGAGGGGATCGAGGACTGCCCAACATGGGTCTGGCCTCTGTCCCAGATTTCCTTCGGTGCTGCTGCAAAGAAGGCGACTTCCTAGCCTTCTTGGCATGCCCCATGGATGGGGAGCGGTGCCGACTGGTCGATGACACCGGAGGGTCGCCGCGCACCAGCACCATGGTGCCCAGTGCCAACTCGGAGCACAGCACTGGAGCCGGGGTCGGCACCGACTCCATCAGAATGGCCCAGAGCCTAATGTCCCTTTCTCTCTTGGTCCGAGGCTTAAACAACTTGCAAATCTTGCAACGATCGCTGATATGGGCTTCTCCCAAATAGAGCAGACAGTCCGCGTGCGGCTCACTCCTTGGCATAGATCACCTACAAGTGTCACATGACTTAAAACCCGGGGCACAAGGCATGCCCCGGCCTGGACACTCTAACTAACTGAACTAACTAAACAGCTAACCAACTACAGGTACCAACACTGAATGAACAAGCAGATCTGGGGACGAGCTACAGCAAGCTGGAGCAGAGTAGTTCCAACACACCTTCACTGGCGGCAAGAAGGAACTGAGGGTGGCGGGAGCACGCATCTCCCCTTATACTGCGCCATGGAGGTGCCACTCCGGGGGTCGCTGGGGCACTCCCCCCTATGGGTACTGCTAGGGGAAAAACTTCCGGCACTGGTGCACGTGGTGAGCACGCACACCTATTGTGGAATACACATGAGCAATCACTCGAAGAAGAATATCTCCAGTTTGGTAGTGAGAATTTTCTGAATCTGCAGAATTTGGGTCAGGCACATAATTCAAGGGAAAATCCAAATTGGGTGTGATCTAGCCTGCTGAACGGAAGCTACACTGATGTGCCAATGGCTGTCTCTGTGCTTACCTTTTGGCTTTAAATTGCCCACTGTTACGACTACTGATGCAGCTCCACTGACGGTAGCATGGTAGGAGTGCTAATGCCTAACTCTCCAGGTTTAGGCAACAAAATGGTAGAAGTGGCAGCCTTTGCATGTGTCTGCACTAACGTTTGCACTGTTGCGTCCACCAGTATAGAACCGTTGCCTGTGGTGGAACAGCAATTGGAAACATATTTTAAAGGGTGGAGGACAGTGTTTGTTCACATCACAATGTCACATTGGAACCAATTTTAGATGTTGAGGATTGGTTTATGGGGTTAGCTGCAACTAGAGCTCTGGGGAAATTTCCAGCGATTTCATAAATTTGACAAAAAAAATGAGGGGAAAACATTTTGTAAAATATTTACAAACTCCTCCCCCTGCCTATTTTCTAACTAGAATTGTACCCTCTCAGAGTTGATATAATCTGTGTGAATCTGGAAGCAGAATTTTGGCCATAATGTGCAGTTTCTTTGCTGCACCTGCAGTAGCTGTACCAATTTTACAGTCTGATTCATGGACAGACACACAAGACTGGTTTTATAGGGGATTTATTGAACAATAATAAACATATACTTTTTTAAAACCAACCAGCTTATTAGATTTACATTCAAGAATCCATAATGTCATTCATGACACTGTAGGAAATAACAAAAAAAAAAGCATGTAAGTATTTAAAAGACATTTAAATAACTTTATCTGGCCCAATAAAGAAGACCCTGTTCCCATTGAAGTCAATGCAGAAATTGTCACTGACATCAGTAGCCACAGGATCAGCCCTTATGCCTGTAAATGTTTCAAACCAATACAGCATTTTACAGAGGTACTTTCTGTGCCACTGTAGTTGTGATTTGTGACAGCACTTCCATTAAAATCCCTACTTCAGTCATAACAATTTAGCCCAGTCCAAAAGGTGTTGTATGTCAGCCATGGTTTTCTGTTTCTTTTTCTGACTGTTGTCCATTTAACCACTTTTAATTTGTAGACATTCCCTGTTTTAATATAATTTTTGTTCTTTTAGGGCCTAATGCAAAATCCATTGTAGTCAGTGGAAAGACTCGGGTTGACTTTAATAGGCTGTGATCAGTCCCTAATAACTCTGAAACTATTTCGGGTTTCTTTTATTGGGTGCTTTTACATACGTTTTCAGATCCTACACCAAATTACCATCAGTATGGCCTGCACCTTCCCTCGCTGAAGTTAATAACAAAACTACAATTAATTTCAATGGAAACCAGACTGGGTCTCCAATTAGATCGATTTATTTTATGAGCCAGATCCTCAGATATGTAAATCAAAGTAGCTCCTTTGACTTAAATGGAGCTAGATTAATTTACACTATCTAAGGATCTGTGTCTTTTTCTTTTTTTAAGTAAAAACCACAAAGTATTAATTTTTACAAATGGGTTTCTGCACAGGGGCAGTAATGGCTATTATATAAGAAGGTTTTAAGGTGTGCCTATATAAACATTATGATGTTTTATGCCAATTTGATACATAACCAAATATGGACTGACTGAGCAATTGGCCACTCCTACAACCCCTTAAAGGGATGAAAGTTTAGGCATTAAGAAGGGGATGAAGAATTAGTCACTAGGGTATCCTAGTGTCTCCAGAATCTCTGACATGGATTATTTATAATGCATATTTATGCTGATACTCCAGTACTCCTTCAGGGCCATTGCAGGCTATTGAACACAAAAGCCACCCTTGGGAATATACTTTAATACTGTATGTGTCTTTACATAATGTCAGGTAAGTAATGCACATTGTATAAGTTCAAATGATGAGTTTAAAGCAGCGGTTTTAAAACTTTGTTGCCTCACGACCCCCTTCTGACAACAAAATTACTATGTGACCTGGGGGAGGGGGGGGTGGTTAGATCCCCACTGCCACAGGTGGGGGGAGATGGGGCTGGAGCTCAAGCCCCGCCACCCTGGGTGGGGGTTTAGGGGGCCAGAGCCCGAGTCCCGATGCCCCAGATCTGGGTGGAGCTCGGGCTTGGGCTTCAACCCAGGCTCCCAGCAAGTCTAATGCTGGCCTGGCAACCCCATTAAAATGGGGTCCCAACCAACAGTTTGAGAACCGCTGGCTTAAAGTAATGTTTACACCTTGTTAATTGTCACAAAACTAACAAAAGCCAAAATATTCAAAGTTAAGGTTGATTTATTGAATTCACACCATTGTGCCCTTTACATTAGTATTATTCTTACTGGTGTGAGTCAAAGACATCAGTTTTTAACTCTGCATTTCCAAGCTTTTGTTAACTTGCATCACCCTAACGTTGGCTCCACATCAGCAGCTTTTACTCACACAAAACATCCATTGAATTCAACAGGAATTTTCTTGCATGGGAAATGCAGGAATGGGCCCTTACACATTGTTCAAATGCTGGTGGGGGGAGGTACTGGTTTTCAATATGACTATACATTCAGCAATCCATAATACATTTCAGTGTTGAAATACTTATCAAAACAAATATCAAAAATCATATAAACTGTACAGTCTATTTTGTAAGTAAACATTTTTTCTGACGATGCACAGAATCACAACTGGTCTTCAGAGGTTACATTTTCATATGCTATAGATGTACTTTGTTTTTAAAGTGTGTTGTTGCATATTCAATAATGTGTGAGAAATGCGGTCATTTGAAAGTCCTACCAATGTAAGTAAATATCAGCGAGGATTTAACCATTTCATTACTGGAGAGCTAATTACTTTCTCTTTGACAAATTCCTCCTTTACAGAGTTACCATCCCCCGATGCCATGTCATTCTCTGAAAGTTAAAAAAAAAGAAGTGAATATCACATAAATTGGGTTAAATACAATGTTTTTATACATCTACATCTCTAGGCTGGAAAACATTTTTTTGAAAAATCTCTGTTGATAATCCACATTACATGTCATCTAGTTACATTATTTCCCCAAAATTATAGCCTGTAAGATGTGTGAGCTAATAAGCACAGGACAGAGAACCAGGAGATCTAGGTTCAGTTCTCAGCTCTGGCCCAGACTTCTTGTGTGAGCTTGGGCAAGTTGCTTAACCTCTCTGTGTCTTGATAACAACAACCGGGGCTAGATCATCAGCTGATGAAAATAGGTGAATTTATACTGGTCACATTAGCTGTGGATTTGGCCCACAGTATGTACCTGACTCATGAAGACTCATTAATATTAAGCAAAGTCCTTTGGGATCCTCATATGAACTATTATGAAATATATTACTGTCATTAATTGGTCTGTCTCAAGTGCTGAGTAAATATTAGAGGTTTCAAGGTCTGGGTGAAACCCTGGACACATTAAAACCAATGATAAAGCTCCCATTTACTTCAAACTTTGGGTCTGCAAGACATTTGGATCAAAGATAGGTGAGAAAACAGAAATGGGAAGCTCATGAGAACAGGGTATCTCAAAGATACATCTCTCCTTCCTCCAACCAAATATACCCGTATCCCCAGTAAATCTTTAAAACTCTGGAAACATCTGATGTAAGTAGGTTTAGCTAAATGTATAATCTTTAAATAGAATAAATGCTTGTAACTATAAAAAAATCATTTTCAATTTTCAATCTCAGTTAATTTATTATTTCAAAGTAGTTTTCCCATGTGATGTGTAGTGATGAGCAACTTAGCTAATTTGACACAAAAAGCAGTTTGCTGTGGAATTAAAGAACATGTAAAGTTCACTAAAGCGTGGTCTCCACTGGAAAAAAAGGCGATTTTATTACCATGTGTTAGCTAACACATGTGTGGACAAGTCTATTATAATTTTCACACATTAGCTGGTGAGGTAAACCTGGCCTACCCCTTCTCCCCACGATTTACCTTAACCTGCTTATAACTACAAACTGACTTTTCCAAACTAGGATTTAAACACATTTTATTTACTAACTAAAGTTACACCCTTTTCCCTAATGTAGATGCACCTATATGTAATTCTTTGTCTGTAGCAAGCTTAGTAAAACATTACTGTGAGCTCTCAGTGGGGAAAAATAAAACATGCATTATTACTTATTTGCATAGCATCATCAGTGTACACATACACAATATACAATGTGCTGGTTGAGCAATTAAAATGAAGTGCCCCGTCAAGTCTTACCTGTATGTGAAATTAATTTTCGTCTGTTTGGTGGCTTTGAAGCAGAAAGTTGGAAAAATGGGAACTTCAAACATTTTCCAGTTACTCTGTCGCATATACCAGACTGGCAGTTGCAAGTTTTTCTGCATTCCATTCCATAGGTACCATAAGGACATTCTGAAAGAAGACAAATTCAAAAGCCTTATTTACCCAAGTAATCCCAAAAGGTGCAGTTCCTATTCTATGCTGGTTCTTTTACTGCACTCATCACTGTAGTATCTGAATGCCTTCCAGTAGTGGTTTGCTATTTGTTTTCTTAATATCTTATCTGCATATGTTCTTAAAAGTAAAAGAACTTTCATTGGGATTTAAGCATACTGAAATGCCAACTTTTGTTTCAAATAGTTTCCACTTATTATTGATTATGGTTATTCTTTATTTTCCTTTATACATCTTTCATCCCCAATAGTATGTGCAATAATCACAATTTTATTTAAAAATGTATCCTGATAACCATTTCCCTGAAGAACTTGTAGCATTATACTGCAAATTAAAGACAATGTAAATGTTGAGCATAAGTATGCATTTATACTGGATGTATAGTTTAAAATATATGTACTATCTGATGTTTTCTTTAATCCAATTTGCACAAATAGTCTCTCTTAACAACAGGAATACTTCAGAGTTTCTTAAACTTCCAGGCCAGGCTCAATATTAATTTATGTAAATTTATAATCAATTTGCAGCCTCTGGTGAGGCTGTATTAAGGACAACAGAACCTTCCTATCAGCCTCCACTGCAGCTGCCAAATCCTGCCCAAAGGAGCTATCCAGCATGGTAAACCTCTTCATCAATCTTGAGTGCCTACAACCCACAAGAAAACCCAGCACCAAGTGTTGTGAAGAATGATCATTCTACTTTGTTGAAAAGCTCAGGCTCATTTGGCAAGGCTTCTTAAACAGCATGTATCTGCTCCCCCTATGCCAGCCAACAAAGACCCTCTTGCATGTCCGGAGTGCAGAACATTCACTTCTAAAGAAGTACGAGACACTGTAAAGGAATCTCAGTCCAAGATTTGTTGTGAATCTGACCCATGCCCTTCCTGCCTTGTGAAAGACAGCCGTGAGCAACTGGTGCCAACACCTCATTCAGAGACGGAATCTTCCTTTCCTCCTTCCAACATGCAATAGTTTGAAATTCACCGTGGGCCCGCTCCTTCAGCTACTTTCATTAGTCAGGAATTTATCCCCAAGAAATATCAAAGGGAGTATTTGTTGTGGGGAGGTGCTGAGATGACTCAGTTTGGAAGCTGCTCCTGGATTCTGATTTGAAATTATACAAGGAAATATGCAGTAATGTAAAGATCCTAAATTGTCAATATTTAAAGTCAAACATTGTATTTGTGAAATCCAGATACATGCCGGCTCTATCTAGACCTTTAACAACATTTGAGAAGCTCACCCAGGAGCAAGCTGGAACAAAAGGTTTAATTTGTAAGATATGTAAAATTTTGATTGGAAAAGATGTTAAGAAAATAGCCCAGATGAAAAGATGGGTGAAGGATTTATGTCGGACAGGGGATATATATCTGCAATATGAGTAAATTACCGCATAGATGTCATTTGACTCCAATTAATATCCAGCATATTTTTGCTACTAGGGAAATGGTCTGTTGGAGGGGTTGTGGGGTAAGGGCAAGATACTTGCACATGTGGTGGTTATGTCCAGAAAGAAGGTTTTGAGAGGAAATTATTGAAGAGATTCATCTTATGACAAAATGCCAGCTTCCTAGAGATCCCCTGACCTGCTTGCTTAATGCTCTGGAAAAGGATCAACATTTTAAACAGAACAACAAATTAATTTATTTTTTATAGTTAGCAGCAACACTTTGTATTGCACTTTACTGAAAATATGTGACCTCTCCTCTTATGGAATTGTCATATAGTAAAATTGGGACTGTCCTGGTGATGGACCAATGTGAAAGTGACAAAAAGAGGACAGGTATTTAGAAATTTGCTCACCCTTTTTTAGCATATTCAGAGGAGGGCTCCCCAGACAAGAAGTCAGAATCTTTAGACTCATTCTTCTAACATTAATTTGATCCTGAACAAGTAATAAATAATGTATGATGCAGTATGTTAATGATTTATTGTAAGTTTGCCTTATTAAAAAGTTTTTTTAAAAAAGAAAGAAACTCACCCTGGATACATTAAAAAGAACAGGAGTAATTGTGGCACCTTAGAGAATAACAAATTTATTTGAGCATAAGCTTTCGTGAGCTACAGCTCACTTCATTGGATGCAAAGTGAGCTGTAGCTCACGAAAGCTTATGCTCAAATAAATTGGTTAGTGTCTAAGGTGCCACAAGTCCTCCTTTTCTTTTTGCGGATACAGACTAACACAGCTGCTACTCTGAAACCTGGATACATTGTTTCTAAGCAACTACCACCCTAAATTAAGCCTCCCATTTATGAGCAAGCGTACTCAAGTCTCGATTCTTATCTTCAAGGGGCTCAGTGGCCTGGGCCCAGCATATCTAAAAGGTTGCCTAATGCTCCAGGATGACCTCAGGCACAACGGAACTTTCTATGGTAGGGGAAAGGCTCATCTGTATAAGAGACAGAGCTTTCTCCGGGGTCAGTCTGAGACTGTGGAACAAACTTCCACAGCACATAAAGACCATCACAAACCTTGCCACCTTCTGCTCCAAGTGCAAGATGCACTTCTTCAACCTGCCTTCTCTAACATAAACGCTGTGACAGATATGGCAGTTTCCTGCAATATTCCTGAAAGACCTCATGGTACTGAGTTTATGTATTACTGTGGGTCAAGGTGGTATGTAACTTCTTGATGCAAACACTGCTCACACAATTCTCATCTAAGGGAGAAGATGAAGGAAAGAATAAACAGATGTGACAGATGTTAGGTATATTGCTTAATGCACTACTGGAAGATGCTCAGATACTGCAATGATGAGGGAGGTATAGGAGTTTATATAGAATATAATAATAAACACACACAAGTCCATAGTGGAATAATCTATGAGTTTATCAATTTTTTGTCCAGGTTTTAAAGGCCTGAGAAATTGGAGTAATTTTTTCTGTTAACTGTTAGAATTTTATGCACAATAAAAGCCTGATCTTGCTGCCACTGAAGTCAATTGCAAAACTCCCATTAACTTCAATGGGAGCAGGATCAGGCCTTCACTATGACAAAAATAACAAAAACATTAAAACGACAGTACCTAGTAAAAGGGCAAAGCATCAGGTCTCTGTACTGTTTATTCTAATTTGGTATTAAAATAATCATAATAATGATACCATGTACTGACATAACACTTTTTATCTAAGGATCTCCAAGAACTTTACAAAGATTGGTTAATGCTTTGAAATCTTGGACAAGTGACTTAGCCTCAGATTACCAGTTTGTAAAGTGAGTCAATGATACAGTTTAGGACAAAACTCAGGAATTCTGAATCTCATGATATATTTTAAATATTTAAATCCCCCCATCTGCTAGCAGTATGATCTGCTACCAAACAGTCACCGGTACAATACCTGTTCAGCACTGTACTTTTCATATTAAAATTCACAGATGGCTAAAAGGAGACTGTACTATGTCAGAGAATGAGATGAAGGAGAAAAAAGTGCATGAGGAATGAGACTCATACAACATCGGACAAAGGAATTTATGGGAAAAGAGCTCCTGAGTATTGTTTTAAAACTAAGGGTGAAATCCTGACTGTTTTGAAGTCAATGGGAGTATTTTCATTGGTTTCAGTGGGGCCAAGATTTCACCCTGAGTTCCTACATATTCTTGCAGTGGCATAACCTCATCCTGCTCCAGAGATTCAGAACTCCTGTTCCTCAGCATTTCTTTTTACCCATTCTTAAATGTACAATTACAAAGAACTTTTCATGAGCAAGCAAAAGTATATACTCATTTTAAGTATTTTTTGTATAAATTATAGATGGTATTTTGCACTACAATCTAATCAATAAACTAAAAATCAACTAGCATCAACCAACTCAGTAACATACATTTTTACAGTTGACTGCACCTAAACTAGGAACTTTAGACCATAAACTTATAGTCCATGAAAATAAAACTGGGTTGGGAATCATTTAAACATGAAGAGCTTCCTCCACAAGCATGCATGGGAGTAAATTTCTCTGTGTGTTACATGTATGTATTATATGTGAATCCATTTACATGTGTTTTTGCAGGATCTGGCCCTAGCTCATTTCTTTCTCAGCACATTCACAGACATCTAACAACCACCTAGATTTCTTAAGTTTTGTGGACGTTATTTCAGAAGAGAGTCTGTATCTACAAATTTCACTGGCAAAGGAATTCTTGGTAGACACTGACTCACTGCATTTGTGCCCTATTAGGTTATTTATTTATTTTATTTGGAATTTGTACATCATAATTTTCTGTAGTTTAATACTTTTTCTCATTTAAGAAAATCTCCTATTTAATGTGACTGGTGTATGTATTTGATGAAGGGATACCATTCTGCTCTGTGCTGAAGGAAATCGATGTGCAGGTTCCACTGGAAAAATGTTATTGCATATTGATCATTCAGATGATTTTAAAAATCCCAGGGCCATTTCATTCCTGGTATAACCTTATTGAAGCCAGTGAAATTACATCAATGATGACTTTGGCCCCTGAGGTCTTTTACTGATAGTAATGCTATTAGACTGTGTAAACTAAGGGCCCTCATGCCTGTAGTATCTGAGTACCTCATACACACTAATGAATTAATCCTCACAACACCCCTGTGAGGTAGAGTAGTGCTATTATTCCCATTTTACTGGTGGAGATGTTAAGCCCCGATCCTGCAAGTTACAATGCATGGGGGGACCTCTGTATCTGTGCAAAGCCCAGTGGAGCTCCATGCAGGTTCAGAGATCCACTAGCATCGATCTACTTGCGGGACTAGGGCTTTTAAAATTTGTCCACGTTTCCACAACCAATCAATGGCAGTGCCAAGACTAGTACCCAGGCCTTCCAAGTTTCAATCCACCAAAATATTTCTTCACAGATCTCACAATTTGAAGAGAGATTTTCATTTTAAGTACCCTTAAACAGCGGAAAGAGAATCTCTTTTAATATGAGAGGATATTTTTTCACTCTCCTCTTTGCAAAGGATAATATTATTGTTTGAAATGAAAAATCCCACTTTTCAATCTTAACTTTCTGCAAGCAGGATGCCAGCAATAAATTTAGGTAGTAGATGCATGCAAGTGAATATTGTTTACCTTTGCAGATACCAAATTCATCACCAAAGTCATCCTCCTCAGTGTAAAACTGGCACTTCAGCCCAGGCCCACATTTGACACCATCCATACCTGAGACAGTGCGGTAGCAAGTCTCCCCCAAGGCTGCTGCACAGACTCTGCAACAGCCACAGTCGTCAAGCACTGTTCGCTTACAGCGCAAAGTACTTTTACACACATTACTGTCGCAAGGTTCAGGGCAATCAACTGCATATTTTGCACTCCAAGCAGTTCCGATGTGCACTGGTACCAGGAGGATGGTGAAAAACAGGAAGTTCTTCATGTCTCACAGTGCTAAACGCTCAGTTCCAAAGAGCAGGTTTAACATTCAGCCTTGTGGTTTTGTGCTGAGAGAAGCAGCAATGAGGAATCCAAAGAAGTAGCTGCACATCAGCCTACAAGTTTATGAGCTTTATACAGTGTGTTGCCCACATGCTTCGCCGTCGTCAATTTCCTCAGTCCGACCGTGCTGTCCTCCTGCCAGCCTCCCTTGTTTTAGTTTGTGAAATCCAGGATGAAGGTTGGATTAGCACTCCGCTGCCATCCAGGAATTGAAAAGCCTGAGCTGATGTAATCTGTTATGTTTAGTTGGTTGTTTTGCATGAGGACTAAAAACGCTCTCACATCCGTCTCAAATGCTCAAGGACGTCTGCCAAAAACAAAAAACAAAAAAATTCAGTCGGTTACATACCTTCTTTCAGGACAGGAATTGTTCTGAGGCTGAACATATCACTTACAGAACCGCTTTGTCCTACAAATAGTGTTCCTGAGGCCAGGTGAAAAATCATGTCCGACTGTACCAGTGCTGAAGGAAGCTCATTTTAAAAAATAAGTCCTTGCTTTCTTCTCAATAAGTAAGTGAATGGCTACTTCAAAGAAGAAAATGTGATTATGCCCTTTAGCTAACATAAGAGCCAAAAAATGTGAGTGATACTTTTGTTGCTTTGCACTGAACGGATACTCATAAAAACTAAATACCAGTTTCATCAGCATTTAGTTAGATAGATATATTTTTCATTCAAAGATCAATGCTAAACCTACGAAATGAGTCAGACAGAAGCCAGTATTTTGTAGGTCCCTCTCCAGAAACTTCAGAAAATGATCAATTTAATTTCCTAAAATTACCTAATGATCACAGGGAAAAGCTCAGTCCCTCACCATCACTGTCTACACAGGGGCAAACTGATTCTCCTCCCACCTACTCCGGTTTCACACTGATCTCACTTCATCAGCTTAGGCAGCGTTAATCCTGAGTCCCACCAGGGTAGCTGATAGGAGAATTAGGCCCAAAGTCCTTACTCCTCCCCCAGTTTGAGGTTTATTCCAACTGTCAGAGCTATGACAAGAAATGGCAAACAGGCCAGCAACTCAGGAAGACAGATGAGTCAGCAGAGGGATAGAAACATTTTGATGCAAAGGAAAAATCTCCAGAAGAGTTAAAAATCAATATAATCACTAAACAAACCTCTAAGGCCCAAATCCTGCTGCCATCAAAGTTAATGGGAACAGGACCGAGCCCTAACTCTGTATGTGGCCACCTATCCTATGTTGTTAACCTTGTCTTCTCTAACATAAACATATAGCAACATGTGGGTGTGGGTATATATATAACAAAAATTCCAAACCAAAACACTCCAGTATGCATACTTCTCCCCCCAGGAGAGCTGATGAGAGAGCAAACACATGACAGCTGTTAGTCACATTACTTAAGGCACTCAGATACTACAATGACAAGTGCAGTGCGGAACAGAATAGCATAGAATAGGACCTTTCAATGCCCAAATTTTTGCATGTTCTGTAACTTTGCAATGGTTAAGAAAAAAACGTTAAATGCTGAATGTTGCAACTTAGTAGGCAGATGAGACTGAGAAAATTGAAGGGGAGTAGGTCTTGTTACAGAGCAGGACAGCTCTTGGAGTGGATGAATCTGAGTCCTGAGCAGGGATATGCAAACTGATTCAGATAAAATAAGAACAGTCCCCCTCACATAAACTTTCACCCAAAACTCACCCCACTACTCTGAGTCTCAGAAAGATTTGGTTAACTTCTCTTTCCATTATTTTTCACTTTTGTGCATCTTTGCTCTTCTAGCTTCCAAACAGGACTACACATGAACATGTCAAGATGGTACAATTTCAACCAGAAGCAGGGAGTACTAGGAATCATTTAGGAAAGCTAGTTCTTGTAAGATTTTCTGTACAATTTTATAAAAACCCCAAAGGTTAAGCTATGTTATAAAGATACACCTGGTTTTGAAGTGTGTATCCAAATCTCCATTCAGCCTTTTAAGGAGAAATCTTACATTGGCAAGAATAAGGGATAGAGAACATAATCTTTTTTTCCTATCTCTAATTCTGATGATGCTCTGAGTCTTTTAACATTCTGCTCCTGGTCTTTTCATATCTGTATTTTGCTGTTCATTTTTAACACAGTAAGAAGTAGACAGACAGCAATACATTTTAAAGATGATATAACGGGAATATATGTATCACATGCCCAAGAAGCTGTTACACTTGCAGTGAGGGGTTTCAGGCAGCACACAAGGTTTGAACTTGTGACGTGTCTTTCTTATAAGCTTCACAATAACACAGAACAGAAGCTCCATTTACAAGTGCCAGTTGATGTTTCTTTAAATGCACTAGCTCAGGTCTGTCTCACCAGTAGATTCAGGACTGTACACGTCTCATTTAAAAGCAAATCCATAAGCATCTGGGCCAAAATCTTTGCGAGTATAAATTGGCGCAGCTCTACTGATTGCAATGGAGCGATGCCAATTGATAACAGCAGACAATTTGGCCTTCAGAATCCAACACAACCACCCCAGGAAAGGAAAGGAAGAATTCAAGTGGGGAAGTGAGTAGTGCAATTAGCAACCAGAGAGGTGAGGGGGGGAAAGTGCAAGATTAGGGTGAACAAACACACTGGAAATAGACACACTGTCCCCGATTCGAGAAAAGGAGAGATCATGACATATTGCAAATGCTTGTTTTGCCAAAGGAAAGCAGCAGGATTTCTTTGAAGGCTCCCCTGCCTTCTAGGAACTCAGCAAAATTTTCTAGAGAGACCTAAGAGTACTTCCCAAACAAACCTCTCTCCCCATTCCAAATGTGACACCCACAACTCTCCAGTGAACAAGTTATCATTCCAGAAATAAAGCACAAGTTTAACCACACGCAGTCATGAGCCCTGTGGTTACTTTGAACAGAATTAATGTTCTGCAGTGTGCCTAATGCTCTCTTTTTACCTATACAATCTCGTCTTTCATCAGAGCATGTCACTGTGATTTACAAACACCAGTGTATTAAGCTACATAATATCCCTCTGAGGTGAATACTGTAGGCATTACTAGCTCCACTGTACAGATGGGTAACTGAGACTCAGAGACATTGTGTAAACAGTCCAAGTCACGGGTGGAGCCAGAACTCGTCCCCCAAAATCCTGAGTATTGTTTCCTAACTCTCTCCACAAGGCCACGTTACCTTTAAAGAGAGACATCTCTGGGAGAAAACAACAGTAGAAGAGTGTGCAGAATGGTATAAGTATGCATGCCTGTGCATACCCTGCTACCACACCTAGAGAGCATGCTGGTAAAGTCCTTCTTTGTAAGTAGATTTAGGCTGTACTCGTGTAAAACACTGAGCAGGATCTAAAAGGACGAAAGATATCTTGCACTTTTGGGTTTCCTCAAGGAGAATGTCTCAGAGAGATGATAAATCAAAAATTACACACAGATGTGGAAGGAAAAAGAAATTGTAAAAGAGAGCCACACACTCCCATAGCAACAAGCCAATATTATTTGGAATAGAATGGAACCAGTATTCTGTATTTGTAGTCAGGAGCCAAAATAAATTATAACAATGTATCAAGAATCACATATATGGAGGGAAACAATATGAGCAAATACAGAGGTAGTGTATAAGAAACAATGGAGAAAATAATGAGAAAGACGGGAAAAATACACTGGTTATGAGCTACCAAACTGTCCACTGATTAAGTAGTGAAATAAATGCAGTGATCAGTCCCTGTGGTTTTAATGGCTGCTTCGTTGCTTTTACCTAATGAATCCATGAGGTGTTTCATTCCTATTGAGCTGCACCCAGTTGTTAGAGGCTAGATCTTGCAAACCCTGGTCCAAATTCTCTGTTGTAAATTGGCGCAGTGAAAGTCAAAGAAGTTGCCCCAGTTTACAGCAGCAGAAAATCTAGCCTGATTTAAGTGGAAGCCCTCATATCATTTAAATGAGGAAGGGTTTTCAAGATCAGACCCCTAATGCATTAAAATAGCCATCATTGACAGTAGTTTACAGTTTACATGTTTACATGTTGCCATGCATGCCACCTAGCAGACATCACAGCAATGCCAAGCTGTACAACTGGTACCCTATTCTGAAAAAAACAGGCTACAAGACCCAGCATTCAACCTTCTGTATTGAACAGAGCATCCTGCATTTGTATGTGTGTGCACACATGCAACTTTAGGACTTGTGCATAGAGGCGAACGGATAATACTTTTGCAACTGTCCATTTTCTCAAGTAAATACAGGGTTTTCAGGGGTGGAGCAGGTACTTGGCCATTTTTGTGGGCGCTTTAGTTATACCTATTACTTTGCAAGATTGGTTCCGATTGTTATTGAGCATTATGAACCAGAGGAAATAGACTCCTCACCATATAAAATAATGTAAGCAATGCATCACAGTACTAGGTATTTATTAACCCAAAGCTAAAGACCCTTACTCTGCCTTTTATCCTGTCCTTACTTAGGTGTTACCCTATTATACTATTAGCTTCAATAAGGACCAAGTAAAAACTGAGTCAAAGCCTAAGCATTTTGCCCATTGTGTTTACTCAGTACTTTGGATATGTAAAGTTTTGTGCAAGTATTAAGTATTATCATCAGTTCAGAGATATGAAAATCATTATGGTTAATTTCTGATGGGTAGTCCCTAAACTAAACATATTTTTCCATGCATTCCAGAACTAGCCAATCCTTCCTCAGGCTTCCTTTACAAAAAGCCATAAGCACAATGCTATGAAACAAGCAAGATTCAAAGGGAAGCTGCAAAAGGAAGCCAAGCTGCAAAGTCCAAAATAAGAAGTCAGAAATAGGAAGCAAAAGATAAGAATCAGGAAAGTGTGATAGTTACAAGGACTCCCTTTTGTATTCTTTCTTTCTTGTATCTTTTCAATGAATTACTCATTGCCCTTTGTTCCATATAACGCTGTGGTTCAATTTTTATTTGATAAATATAGATGGTTTGGGACATTTCCTACTTGTTGGAAGCAGAGTACATAATTGCAGACGTAGTTATTTCCTCTTTAGGCAGACTAAATAGCTTGATGCTAAGGAAATAGCCCTATAGTTTCTATATAAATCACTGTTGATGATGATGTATTTGCAATTAGTGACAGGGACTAGCAATTATAGTCATTTTAAGAAATGATAGTGTTCTAAGTCAGAACAATGTTAAAATTATACCTATGCATAATTCTTCATAGCTTCATAGATCTGAAGGCACAGTT